TTCATCTTTGTCTACGCCACATTTTTGCCATTACTTGTCAAACCCCCATTAAACTTCGACACTGTCTCCTAAGTTCTAGAAACCTTCCCTGACAGGCCTCTGTCCCCGCCTCCCCATCTCTACAGGCTAGTTGCCCCCTACAGCGCTTTCACACCACTTGTCAAACTGGATTGTAATTGCCTGTTTACCTGGCCACTTGCATCTCTGAATGCACGTTACATAACAAGCTGGAGTAAATGTTCAATGAATGAATGAAGACATTCCTAACCGTATCTCAGGGCCAAGTGCTTCTTTACTAACTTCTGAAATCACCTGGGCAAACTCAGAAGCGGTGACCTCTGCAAGGCTGTATCTAGAGAAGATTCTGAGCTCTTTAGTTCTTGCCTTTAAAGGTGCCTCCTCTGGCCACCCTACCTCCTTCCCCTGAAGGATCGCTGGGAACTAAATGATACTTGAAGAAATAGTAGGGAGGAAAGTCTGAGGAGAATAAAACAAGATTTTATTTTGTGAGTTTTGGAAGAGAATGCCATGAAAGGCTTGGAATGCTTCCCACGGAGCAGGACAGACCACTGGGCAAAAGCTTTATAACAACGTATACTCTTTTAAAAAAAAAAAATTTTAAAAAATGGCTTTATTGATTTCAGAGAGGAAGGGAGAGGGGGAGAGAGAGATAGGAACATCAATGATGAGAGAGTCATTGATCAGCCGCCTCCTGCACGCCCCCCACTGGGGATCAAGACTGCAACCCGGGCATGTGCCCTGATGGGGAATCGAACCGCTGTCTCCTGAGTCATAGGTTGATGCTCAACCGCCGAGACACACCAGCCAGGCTCACAAGGTATCGTCTTAAAGTGAATAAATTCCAAAGATTTTTCTACACCCAGCGGGGCGTGGCTCAGCGGTTGAGCGTTGACCTAGGATCCAGGAGATCAGGGTTTGATTCCCCGTCAGGGCACATGCCCAGGTTGTGGGCTAGGCAGCCGATCAATGACTCTCCCATCATTGATGTTTTTATCTCTCTCCCCCTCCTCTCCTCTCTCTGAAATCAATAAAGATATGTTTAAAAAAAAAAAAAAAAGGTTTTTCTACGCCTTGATTTCAAACCCATGCATTTTATGGGTTTAACATTTTGTGGGATTGCAGAGGCCCGACAAGTGTAGCGATTTGTAACTTTGCTGTCATAATGCTGAATCACGAGTGTGGTGGACATGTCAGGATCCATATCCCGACCCTTCATGTCACAGTAGCCCATCAAACGACTAAAGGAGGGAGAGTTAAAATGTTTCAGGTACATGTGACTGCTCCTCCTGGAGGGAATCATATACCACAGTGGTATTCAAGGTTGCAGGATGCAGCTCTAACACATGTGGAGGGAGGGTCTACCGTGATGGTTACTAGCTCGCCAGGAAAAAAACTGTTGCTGATTCCCAAGTCCAGCATTGGGAATCAGGCAAATAACTTGAACAGATAAGCGGCCTCCTCAGAACCAGATACCTGACAACATAGCTAATGTTGTGGACACGAGAGCCTTGAGAGTTCAAGGCGCCTGAGGCCGAACTTCAAGAATGCTCCTTCCCATAGGTGGACCCCCCAAAACGGCACTATTCGCATTAATAAGCCTCTGAAAACAGAAATATGCATTTCTGTGATGCGATCGAATCCAGGAGGAAACAACTATCAGCTGCCTTCCAACCCAGTTTCTCCCAGAACACAAGGTCGTAGGGGTCACAAACTCCAGGGTTAAACAAACCCAGCTTTGAATTCCAACAATGTGACTAACCGATCAGCTATGTGACCTTGAGTGAATTTGTGGTTTCAGTGCCTTTCTTCATACTCAACATGGTGATTGTCACATTTTCCTCTTCAGACTGTGAAAGCGTAAGCCACACAATGTGAGAGTTCCCATCTCAACAGCCCTGGACACAGACTGGGACGCTCAGCAGGCTGCAGGCCTCCTGCAGCTCACAGGGTAGGGTTTGCTCTGCTGGAGGCCTCTCCTGCCCCTTTGCTTACTCTGCCCGCCCCAGCCCTCCCTGAACTCTACAGAGAAAAGCTAAAGGAGTGTGTTCACTGTTCTCCCCCCCAAGGTCTTTAAATCAATATTCACTTGCTTATGTTTCAAAATATAGTTTTGAAACCCTGTATGAAACAGATAAGAATTTAAGAACCTAAACTGGCAAGAGGAATTAAATTTTTATTTTTGAGGTGAAACAGGCCTGGTATCAATAACGCTAGAAACTAGTCCCCCTACCAAAGTGGGACACTGACCATGACATTACCCTGAAGCAGTGGGGCTGCTAAAACTACTCTTCTCCAGAATGCTGTTCAACAGCTGGAACATCTGGAAAGCTGTGCCCAGTTTTGGTTTTTTTGGTTCCTCGTGAGGATCAGCATCCCAGTTCCCAGAGAACAAACCACCCCTGGGCACGCTCTCCACCTCCTCCCGCCACCTCCTACCTAGTGGAAGTGAATCAGACAAACAATATGACTTTTTAAAAATTATTTAATTTAGTAGTTTTCTTGGAAAAAACCAATAAGGCAAAAAACAAAATATATATAGTTTTGTTTTCATGTGACTTTATTTCACCTGAAGCGTCTTCCATTGGCAGGAATCTCACTGGGGGCTGGGCTGGAAGTGTAGTGCAGACGGTGGGGGAAGAAGGGTGGCGGGAAACAGGAAACGTCACTTGGGGGGGGGTGTCCCGCTGTCTGAAGCCCCGATTCATCAGGTCTTCTACGGACCTCCCTGAAAGAAGCCCAGGGCCACCCCTTGCTTATGCTGGGAACCGGGCTCTTAGGAGGAAATTCCCCAGCAGCTGCGCCTGTCAAGTTCATCGCAGCTGGGCGGGGAGGGAGGGCGGAAAGGGCCAAGAGCACTAATTCCTCGGGTATAAGTGAATCCGGCTTCCACGGAGGGCTGGCTCCCTCTGGAATGACACAGCCCCTGGGACCCACACTGGCTGAGGCTCCGCAGTTAGGGAAAGAAACAAAACACAAACAAAAGGCATACAAGGAAGGCACCTCAATTTGTGATCCTCAACCAAGGGTGGGTCGCACGGGGGTGAGATTTCTGAAGCAGAAAACTCAAACAAATATGGAACAAAAACGGAGGAAGCCAGCCCCCCCCCATCTCCCCGCGCGTGGGGCTGCCGCCAGCCCAGTCCGGGAAGAACGCTCTAAGCGCTCCTTTGGGGCTCGGCAGCGTTGCTGCGCCCCGGACCGGGCAGAATTAAACGCGAAGTCACCCTCCGGCCTTGCAACCCACACTCCTGACAGAAGGAAACAGGCAGGAGAGGGCGAGGCAATAGCAGAGCAGACTCCAGACAGCAGAGGGCGGCCCAGCCACGCCGCCCTGACGTCCCTGCGCGACTGGTCCGCCCCTGAGGGGAAGGCGGAGGGGGCTCGACCCGCCTTCCCACACCCAAGACACAGTCCCAGGGAGACCAGCGGTATCGAAAAACAAGATTCTTAATGGGAAGAAGGAAAATCAAACAAAAAAATTATTTCTTCTCTACATATATATAATATACAGATATTTAACACATTATTCCATAGGTGGCTCCAGTCCACGGGGCTCGAGATACGGTGACTGCGGCTGGGATTCTGCAGGAGAGAACGGGACAGGCCGTGTGCGCCCGCACGGGCACGG